AATGTAATTTCCTCTCACTCAGCCTTGGAACCAACTTACTTCTGGGAGTATAAGTTTGATTGGAGCAGCCATCTTTTCTGTTACCCACCCTCTGCTAGCCATCTGGTTTCCTGAGACAGTTGATTCCTTATTTGTCCTTATGTTAGTCACTCATTTCTCTAAGTATCCCTCATGGCATGAGGATTTTCATCTAATTGAATTCAGGCAATAAGCTATCAACAAAAGATATACCCTAATAAAGGTAGAAAACTATAGTTGGAATAAATTTTGTCTGAGGCAGCAGTCTAAGGAAGACATTCAGTCCTGTTCCAAAGATTGGAACAATAAGAACACAGAGAGTAAACAGGAGAGTAAAGCCTGAAAAGTTTATTTGAACTAACAGAAAACAAACAAGCTCAACCCTGACATATATTAGAACAGAATCAGTCAATCCTCGTAGACTCTAATAGCAAAAAACAAAAACAAACAAAAAACCAGCCTGAAGATCTAAGTGAGAAGCTGGTAGAAGAAGAAAGCATCTGGTACTTAGAAACCTGGTAGGAGGGGCTTGGAAGGTGGTTCAGTGGTAGAGCACTTGCCTTGCATGCCTGAGGCCCTAGGTTCAATTCCTCAGCACCACATAAGCAAAACGAAAAAAGCTGGAAGTGGCGTTGTGGCTCAAGTGGTAGAGTGCTAGCCTTGAGCTGAAGAGCTGAGGGACAGCACCCAGGCCCAGAGTTCAGGCCCCACAACCAGACCCCCAAAAAAAACAAAAAAGAAAGTGGTAGGAAAGTGGAACAGGACCTGGAAGAAATTTCAAAGCTGATCTTCCTTAGCCTAGCCACCCCAAGATAATACTGGGTAAGAAAAAGAAAGCTGTCAGAGCCAAACATTAGAAAAGCACTTGTAGAGCAGAGCAACCATCTCAGACACTTAAGTCATACACAGGAAGATGCAAAGTTAGGAACAGTCATATTTCATCTAAGTTTAACAGTCATATTTCATCTAAGTTTTCAAGAAGGGATATAACTAAAAAGCAAACTAATCACATTACATATTAGATTGAAATCTGAAACATGGAGATAGTGTGATTTAGTTTGTCTCAACCCCAAACAGGAGAAATGGAGATGCTGAATTATCTTGTATTGGATCCAGTTCAGAAAATACTGTATAGAGGGGTTACAATTACATGGGCAAGATAATGAGCACATTTCTTATCAAACATTGTTGTGTCCTCCTTTGTTTCCCCTTCCTAGCCCTTCCTATCCCCCACCCCCTCCAAAGCTTTTTTTTTTAAATCATCTTTCAATATGCCTCTTTAATGTAGGCTTTCTCAATAATAACTGAGTAGTTATTTAATGAGGTCTCTAACTATTATATAGTATCATACAATTAAAGGACATGCACTGACCTGATGAAGCCTTACAGTCAAGTGTGTCATGCTTTTAGGGCATTCCCACAACAAGCTCAAAGACTTACAGGCGACATTTATTTATAATCACTCATATTTTCTAGTAGCTAAACTATTGGCATCAAAGCCTGATAGCTTTACTGACGTTGTAAAGATCTAATTAGTTAAGCTGGAGGTGGATGGGGACATGAAAGAAGAGAAGAATCATTTTGAGCAGAGTACCAGATGAAACTATACTAAAGAATAATGCTACAAGGATGGGAGTAACTTGGAACCCCTTGGTGGTAAGCTGTTAGAAACAGGGCAAAGAGAGTAGACTAGAAATATATAAAATGGAAAAATCTGACCTAGTTTTGTGTGAGATTCTTTTCTTATTCAGATTTGCTATATCGTAACTACTGCTGAGTTTGTTGCATATGTTCATTGAATAGCCAAGGATGGTGTATCATTCTTGATATGTATGCATCCATGATATCATAGGTAGTTAGACATACCTGAAGGAAAAGATGATATGAATGTAATAGGGTAAAAAAGATAAAACGTAACTATATATGTGAACTAAAATATAGCAGAATCATACTTTAGTAGAATATTTTATATACTATATAATAAATGATATTAAATGTCAGTGTGTAAATTACATGTGTTAAACTGAATGAATTAAATGTAATAAATTGTAATAAACTGTAGCAAAAAAAGACAATTTTTGTAATTTTTCAGAAAATTTAGAAAAAGACAAACTCATTATAGATGGATGTGATGTTAATTTTCTAAGACTGAAAACAATGTGGATTGGCAATGTAAAGAGCTATGTTTGGAATTGGAATCAAATATAACTAGCTATTTTAGTAATTAAATACTGATTAGTTGTTATTTCCATGGTATTCATCTCTGAGTAAATTTTATTAAGTATTTCTTGTTTTCTGAATACTTTTGGTGATATAGGGAGGCCATTAAAATATCTATCTGCTTGTTCTGAATGATTATAAGTTGTCATGTGGATAGGGGAGGAATGCACAACAGTATCTGCCTTTTACTTTCTGCTGCCTAAGAAAGCATATGAGGGTTTTCTTTTTTTTTTTCTTCTCACCTCCACAACTACACTCTCCTCCCGCCCAAATGAGGGTTTTCATAGTCCCAAATTCATGTTAATAAGCTTATGATAAATACCCAAATAAGATATTATTACTGGGAGAAGAGAAAGAAAATACTATCCATGACATTGTAAATGACATTCACTTGTCCATGGGGTTAGAAAAATATACATTTGTCCTTTTGTTTTAAAGCCAACTCTTAAAAAAATTAATGTAAAGTACAGATTATAAGTGTATATAGTTTGACGAATTTTCACAAAAGGGAGCACATCCATTTTAATTGATAAATACCCAGATTGATGGTAAATGTTAGAACATGGCAGGCCTGGTAATGCATACTTGTAATCCTGCCAATCAGGAGATTGAATCAGGAAGATTGCAAGTTCCAGGTCAGCCTTGGGCAAGTATCAAGACCCTGTTTCAAAAAGAAAAGAAAAAAAAGGAAAAGGGATGTAAGAGAAGGGAGGGAAGATATTTGTATTAGAACTGATCTTTTTCAACATTGGGTATGTTTTATTTTATTTTTTTCTTTAAGTAGTTGTACAAAGGGGGTTGCCACTTAAAAAAGCAGCTTGTGAATACCTCTATCGGTCAATGTCAGGTCTTTCATCATTCTCACCCATTCCTCCCCTCCCCACCCTTTCCCTCACTCTTAATTTTGTAGAATAAATTGGATTCTTGGCTGTATTTTCTCCCTCTTCATTCATCTAGCCCTGTATGTTTTAAAGTTTGCCTATTGTATTTTTAAACACCATAATCTCAGGAGGAAACATAGTCTAATTTAGAGATTCAGAAAGTGCCAGAAAACACACAAACTTTCAGTAGTAGAGAATAATACATTAGAGATTTTTTTTTCTGTTCTTTTTTTTTTGTCATCCATGTGTCCGGTATACTTTATAAACCCAATTAAGTCACATGTACCAAAATTTTACAATAGAAAAAAAAAGACATAAAAACAACTGAATAGGATCAGAGCAGTAAAAATTGCAAGTATTTTTTAAAATAGCACATTATTGGCCCTTTATAGCGGTAATAGATAGATAGATAGATAGATGTAAGCTTCATCAAATTTGTTTTTTTTTTTTAATTTTTATTGTGAAAATATTGTACAGAGGGGTTACAATTACATGGGCAAGATAATGAGTACATTTCTTATCAAACATTGTAGCCTCCTCCTTTGTTTCCCCTTCCTATCCCTTCCCATCCTCCCCCCGGCCCCCCCACCCAATCCTCCCTGCCCCCCCCACCAAAGTTGTAAAGTTCATTTTCGACATAACGGCTTGTACTTCTCATTGTTGCAACAGGTCCACCTGTATCCTTATTTAAACGACTTGTTTTTCCCCTTCCCCTCCACAAATTATACTGACATCAAATACAGTGAAAGCAGGGGGTATACCATGGGGGAAGGACATACAAAGCAACAAAGAAATAATCTTATAAATGTGTTAGAAACAATTGCATGAAAGAAAAAAACATTTGAAAACATATCATAGGGTTCATTTCCCTAACATCACCTTATCTGACCTTTTCTGCTTGACTGAGACATATACTAGATATTGCAAATAAGGGAAACCATGGGACCTATGTTTCTTTGGGCCTGGCTTACTTCACTTAATATAATTTTTTCCAAGCCTTTCCATTTCCTAACAAATGGGGCAATGTCATTCTTTCTGATGGAGGCATAGAATTTCATTGTGTATATATACCACATTTTCTTGAGCTTCATCAAATTTGTGAGCAAAGTGAAATGACAGTTTTCTTTTAGAAATTTTATCACTTAGAGCCCAAGAAATGCCTTATTTAGTTCTATAATATTCAAGATTTAGGAAGAACTAAATTCTTATAAGACTTAAATTTATTTCGAGGTATATAATGTATAAATATATTCATATTATATATTTGTATACTTATAAATATATAGTTATAGCAAGAAATTTTCAAGGATTACGGTTACCTATTTTCTTCTGTGTTTTTCCATATTTAGGTAGAGAGGTAATTTTTCACAAATGAAAATTTCAGAGATTTGTTTTGCATTTAACAAGACCATGATAGATCTCATTTTATGAAAAGTATTAAAGTAGGATATTTCTTCACTGTTTTCAACAGTAGTCTATAAGTTAATTATAGCTGACATGCTGTAGAAAAGCCATTTGTAAAACTCTGTAAAATGTTAGATTATGGGGCTGGTGGTATAGTTTAGTGGGTGAGCCTTGCCTAACCTGTGTGAATTCTTATGTTTAATCTGTAGCACCAGCCCAACAAAAAAAGAGGGAGGAAAACAAAGAGTTACATCATTGGCTTTTCTTCTTTGGGTTGTATGCATAAAATTATTAAAATGTGCATCTGTTGAAAAATTACTCATTATTGGATAACTTTTGTTTCTTTGACTCTAAAGGCAGATAAGAAAATACAGGTAAATTGCTGATTTGGGTATGTTTATGTGAACTTGGTCTTCAAAGAAGTGGTTTGGACACATGAAAGTTTTGTTTTACTTTCTTGTTTTGCCTTGACTGCAGGCAGTTGAGGAAGAAATGGCGGTTCCTAATCAACTCTGCATTCGCCGCTGGACTACTAAGCATGTGGCTGTGTGGCTAAAAGATGAAGGCTTTTTTGAATATGTGGACATTTTATGTAACAAGCACCGACTTGATGGAATCACATTGCTAACGTTGACTGAGTATGATCTTCGATCTCCTCCTTTGGAGATCAAAGTCCTAGGGGACATTAAAAGGTTAATGCTGTCAGTCAGAAAATTACAGAAAATACACATTGATGTCTTAGAAGAGATGGGCTATAATAGTGACAGTCCCATGGGTTCTATGACCCCATTCATCAGTGCTCTTCAGAGTACAGACTGGCTCTGTAATGGAGAGCCTTCACAAGACTGTGACGGACCCATCACTGACTTGAATTCTGATCCATACCAGTACATGAATGGCAAAAACAAGCACTGTATTCGAAGATTGGATCCAGAGTACTGGAAGACCATACTGAGTTGTATATATGTTTTTATAGTATTCGGGTTTACATCTTTCATTATGGTCATAGTCCATGAGCGAGTACCTGACATGCAGACCTACCCACCACTCCCAGATATATTCTTAGACAGGTAAGTTTTGCTTTTAGTTGCTAAGTGTATAGAAGATTGCTGTAATTATAATGATAGCTGGGCATCGGTAGCTCATACCTGTAATATAAGCTACTCAGGAGGCTGAGATCTGAGGATCACAGTTCAAAGTCAGCTCAGGCAGGAAAGTCCATGAAACTCTTATCTCCAATAAATTACTCCGAAAAAAGCCATAAGTGGTGTTGTGGCTCAAGTGGTATAACACTAGTCTTGAGCAGAAGAAGCTCAGGGACAGAGTCCAAGCCCAGAGTTCAAGCCCCAGGACTGGCAAAGAAACACAACCCCCCATCAAAAAAAAAAACAAAAAAAAAAACCAACAATGATAATATAGGTGTGATAATGTTATTTTTGTGATTATAGTTAATATATACTTTACATTTGCTGTATCTTGTGGTATAAAAGGATATGCTTTGCTCGTTGCACATGCCTGTAATCCCAGCTACTTTGGAGACTAAGTCAGAAGGATCACAAGTTTGAGACAATTCTGTGATTCAAAATTTAAAATATAAAAAGAGATGGGACTGTAATTCAGTTGTAGAACTGGTCAAGCATGTGAAGCCCTGTGTTCAATCTTCAGTACCACCAAAGGAAAAAGAAAACAATGTTTTTAAATCATTTAACTAGCTTGAAGTAAATTATAATTCTGGGTGAGTCAGAAAGCTGACTGCCTAATTCGACTTTCTATAGTTTTTAACTCTTTGGACACCTCAGATTTTAAAAGGGTTTCCTAGAAGGATTTTTGCAAAGAATGGAGCTTGGTCAATTTTGTTTGTTTAAATGATGGATAAGATTCTGCTTCTTCCAAAATATGAGTAGTCTCTTATATTACTAGATGAATTAAAGTTACCACTTATAAATGATAGTATTCTGTTGTATTAAATACCAAGTGAAATGAAATAGAAATTGCCAGGTGCTGGTGGTTCATGCCTATAAGTTTTGCTACTCAGGAGACTGAGATCTAAGGAGGCTCAAAGCCATTCAGGACAGCAAAGTCTATGAGACTCTTACCTCCCATTAACCACCAAAAAGCTGAAAGTAGAGCTGTGGTTGAAGTGGTAGAGCTGTATCCTTGAGCAAAAAAAGCTAAAGGACAGCTCCCAGGTCCTAAGTTCAAGCCCCAGGACTAGCATACAAAAACAAACACCTCACACCTGTAATACATATATACTATATGTATTGTATATATACTAAATAAAAAAACAAGGATTGTATATATATTAAATAAGAATAGAACAATGAACAGATATTCAGAACTATTTTTAAAGTCTTTGTAAAATTTGTAGTGCCTTGTTCGTTCATTTTTGTTTTGTACTTCTGAAAGTGCCTTGCAGTATGTATTTTAAGATAAATGATTTTAAAATGTCATATTAAGATGATAAAATAACATATATATCACATTTTTCTTACTGTCACACCCCAACTAAAATTATTTTTTAAGTGTTTTTGTTTTTTAAGTTGTAAGCCCAAAGGATAGGGTGGACAATAGGAGAAAACAGCTGTAGATATTTGTAAATGTGAAGGCAGACTAGCAAACCTAAACAAACCTAATTCTAAAATATCAAGGAGAGAAGGGCTGAGGATAGACTTCAGTATAGAGTTTTTGCCTAGCATATGCTAAGGCCTGGGGTTTGATCCTCAGCAACATAAACACAAAAATAAAGCAATGGAAAAAATGGAGAACCATCCTATAGTTTTCCCACCTATAAACAGAAGATCCTCAGAAACTAAGAAAGAAAACATTTAGTGTCTAGGGAAACAGCAAGCTATAAAAAATCCCAAACTTGGGCCAGATACCAGTGGCTCACATCTGTAATCCTGGCTTGCTCAGGAGGATGAGCTCTGAGGATCGCAGTTCATAACCAGCTCTGGCAGGAAAATCCGTGAGATTCTTATCTTCAATAAACCACCAGAAAACCAGAAGTGGTCTGTGGCTCAAAGTGGTAGAGAGCTAGCCTTGAGCTGAAGAGTTGAGGGACAGCACCCAGGCCCAGAGTTCAAGCCCCACAACCAAAAAAAGAACTTTAATTTTTATTCTGAGTACAAAAAAAAAATTAGGAAGCATTGATAAGTAGAGTATTCTAACTTCCATTTTAAAAGTTGCTCTAGTAATTGTATTAAAAGTAACCTGTAGAGAGGAAGCAAAGATCAGTTCAGCAACAGCTGAATTCATAGAAAGAGAAGATATTGGATTGAAGAAGACTGGTAATAGAATGGTTTTAATTTCTAGAGCTAGAAGCATTTGTTAGTGGAATTGAGAGTAATGTATGAGGTGGGGGGAGATGTGTCAAGGATTTGAAGTTTTTTGTTTTTGTTTTTTTGCTTTTTTTTTTTTTTTTAAGAGGTTGAAGTTGAGACAGTCTTACTATATACCTAGGTTGGCCTTAAACTCAAGAGCCTTCTACCTTGGCTTTCCAAGTACTAGAATTAAAGTTATGTACCACCATGCCCAACTTTATTCCAAGATTTTTTTTTTAATATATTTTTTGGGTCTGGTCGTGGGGCCTGAACTCTGGGTCTGGGTGCTGTCCCTCAGCTCTTCAGCTCAAGGCTAGCGCTCTACCACTTGAGCCACAGCGCCACTTCCGGCTTTTTTCTTTTTGCTTATGTGGTGCTGAGGAATCGAACCCAGGGCCTCTGGCTTGCAAGGCAAGTGCTCTACCACTGAGCCACCTTCCAGCCCCTCTAAGATTTTTTTTTACCTGAGCACATGGGAGGATGATGGAAGTGCTATTTATAGAGAAGGGAAGACTGTGAAAGGAGCTGATTTGGTGAGGTCAAGCTTCAATTTTGGATATAATGTTTGAGATTTTATTTTACAACAAATCAGATGTCAAGAGATAGAAATTTGAGCTTGAATTTGGGGAAAGACTTACCTAAGATTAGGGAGCTAGCAGTATAAGTAAACCTAGGTCTTCTTGGGAGTAAGACCAGAAGGGAAAGAGAAGCCCAAGGGAGAGAGGCAGAAATGAAGAGAGAAGAAAATAGTTAATAAGGTTTAATTGTAATGAGTTCAAGGAAATATGAAATGTACTAGAATTTACCTGAAGGTTCTTTTTTCCTCTTATCTGTTATATCAATATTTGCAGTAGTTATAAATTTAGAAATAGTCTAAATACTTTAATCTGTGAAACTGCTGAATATACCATGGCAGATCTATACAGTGAAGCACTATTCAACCATAAAAAAGAATGCAGACAAGTTCTATGAATTGGTATGAAGTCATTTGTAAGAAGTCGCAAGCATTGAACACAAATATATAGTTCATGGCTTCTAAATAATAATTCTCCACTAAAGGCTAGACTGGGGATCCTTGGAAGAGGTGGCTGATTTTGTCTGGATCAAGTATACGAAAATATAAAATAAGCCTGAAAAAGACCTTGTGCACAAAAACAATGGAAAATGTCAAAAGAACTTAAGAGCTGTCCAGGCATGGTGGTTCATGCCTATAATCCTAGCTACTCAGGACGCTGAGATCTGAGGATCATGGCTCAAAGCCAGCCCAGGCAGGAAAGTATATGAGACTCATAAAACTCCAATAAACCTACTCAGAAAACCAGAAGTGGCACTGAGGCTCAAGTGGTAGAGCACTAGCCTTGAGCTGAAGAGCTGAGGGATAGCATGCAGGCCCAGAATTCAAGCCCCACGACCGACAATAGAACTTAAGAACTGGTTAGAAAGGGCTTGATCATGGGCTGGGAAGGTGGCTCAGTGGTAGAGTACTTGCCTTGCATGCATAAGGCCCTGGGTTTGATTCCTCAGCAACACATAAGCAGAAAAAGCTGGAAGTGGCGCTATGTCTCACGTGGCAGAGCGCTAGCCTTGAGCTTTGAGTTGAGGGACAGCGCCCAGGCCCAGAGTTCAGGCCCCACGACTGACCAAAAAAAAAAAAAAGAAAGAAAAGAAAAGAAAAAGCTTAATTAAATTCAAATAATATTAAGACATTTGAGACATCAAAAAATGATAATACTGGATTATAATATCTTGGGTAAGAAAAATAAATAATCTATGAATCCATAGTAATCCTATAAAAAAGTTGTGTAAATGAGAGAAAAAGTCCTGCAAGAGCAAGTAAATTTGGATGATGTGACTTTTTCAGCTTTTAATATGTGATTAATTTAGGCAAGTCATTAGGGATATTCAAATACATTAGGTATATGACCACTGAAGAGCAACATAGTCACATGATTTGAAAGAATCATCTTACATATTACTTTACATAGGGAGAATAAGGTATTTACAAGATATGGTATACATCATCTTCTCCAGATGATCAAATGTAACATCACAATGCTTGATAAGAAATGTACTCATTATCTTGCCCATGTAATTGTAACTCCTCTGTACAGTATTTTCACAATTAAAAAAAAAAAAGTAGCATCACAGTGCAACAGAATAGCACTATATGCATTGGGTGTGACGTTTGCAACATCACTGATCTCTGTGATAATCTTGCCCCCTTCAAATATGTTTAATCTAAATATTTTCTTTTTTTGGTTGGTGCCAGTACTAGGGCTTGAACTTAGAGCCTGGGTGCTGTTGCTTAATTTTTTCACTCAAGCCTTATTCTTTACCATTTGCACCAGAGCTCCACTTTTGGCTTTTTGGTGATTAATTGGAGTTAAGAATGCTGCAGTTGGAGGTGGGGGGAGATGAGAGGGAAGGGATGGTAAGGGGAAACAAAGGAGGAGGCAACAATGCTTGATAGGAAATGTACTCATTACCTTGCTCGTGTAATTGTAACCCCTCTGTACGGTATTTTCACAATAAAAAAATAAACTTATTAAAACAAAAATAGGATGCTGCAATCCTCAGATCTCAGTTTCTGAAGTAGATAGGGTTACAGCCTCTGGTGCCTGCCTTCAACTTCATTTTAATCATGAAGTAATCAGACAAAAAGTATGGAACATTCTACATGACAGATGATTTGGATTCTCCCAAAATTTCAAAGTCATTTCAAACAAAACCAGAGAAAATTATATGAG